CAAGAACCAGCAAAGGTCCAGCCAGGAACCAGCCAGGGACCAGCCAGAGACCAGCCAAGGACCAGCCAAGGACCAGCCAGGGACCAGCCAGAGACCAGCCAGGGACCAGCCAAGGGTCCATCAAGGAAAGTGGGGAAAATCTGAATGGCTACTACTGTAAACTCGCTACTATCCATAGGTGAGTGAAACACAATGAAAACTACGCAATCATAGCAAAATTATCCAGGAAGAGAAAATTAGAAATAAAAAAATCTGAATATCTGAATACAGGAAAAGGAGTTTATGAAATAAACTCACACAGCTGGATTCTCTTTACAATTAGGTGACCTCTGAGGATGCGATTTAGTTTAATAAATCTTATTTTGGGGTATCAGTGTAAAGTAAGAGTTAAAAAAAGTCAAGCCAGTTCTTTCTTTCTGTGAAGATTTTTTTGAAAGTATTATTCTTCCTCTACTTTGGGTTAGTCTGTCTGCTTAATCCCAGTGAACTGGGAGATGGACACACTTGATGCACCTTATAGTTTATAGGTTTTACAGTTGAAAGGACATGTCACCATGGAAACAACAGCTTACACATTCTGGCTGCTCTAAACTGTCGGCCTCCCCTGGTTGGTGCTAACCAACTCTCACCCTGACTGGGTTTGTTTTTCTGTGCAAGAATGATGTAATCCGTGGTTTTAAAATCCTACCGAACTCCAGAGCGTTCGCTGCATTCCTGCCCTTCCAAAAAAAGTTAAAAAATAATCCACTGGACTTTGGATGTATTCTTTTTGAAAATTATTTTCATGAAAAAGTTAAAGCTATGAACTTCTAGGTTAATAAAACTTCAACAGATTAAAAAATAACTGATTAAATGTGTTTTTATTCTTATAAAATGTTTATATATTTTAAGAAACTTTTTTTTTATCAGTGTTTTGTGTTTATTTAGAGCCTAGTGTCTGAGCATGACGTCACTATGGTTTATGCTATCGCTAACCAAAGGTTACTATGAGTCAAACTAAGGTCTAACTATCCTTAGACCTAATCGTTCATAGTTTGATACTAGAACTGAGATGTCAGTATGTTGGTGAAGATTCTCAGTCATCCAGGTCATAGTCATTCCAAAAAAGTTAAAAATCAATCCACTGGACTTTGTCTCCAAGCTTGAAGACGTTTCTCTTCCCATCCAGGAAGCTTTTTCAATTCAGAATTTGTTAGCCTGCAATGCCCCATACCTGTCTATGTCTCTGAAAGGGGGGTTGTTAGCGGGAATTGTTGGCCTGGCTGAATAGGTGAGGTCTTCTGTTCTCCTGTAAAGGGGTTGGAGCTGCGATGATAGCGGGAAGGAATCAACTCTATTGCTGCATTGGAGGTTTTTGAAAGCTGGAATTCTTTCTTAGCATAGATGCTTCCTTCACGCTCCTCTCAAACCACCCGTCTTCTTTGTCCAAAATGTGAACATTCTGGTCCTCCAAAGAATGTCCTCTGTCCATAAGGTGTAGATGTAGCGCAGTCTTGTCCAGAGGAGGGCGCTCTTCTGTGTTTGGCCATTTTGTTTTTTTTTTGGGATTGACTATGACCTGGATTACTGAGAATCTTCACCAGCATTCCTGCCCTTTCTTTAGACAAAAAATAAAAACACCCCTCTGAGCAACAATTGGCCAAATAATGTTTTATTCACCTCATGGATTTGCATTGTGAATTGGTCTGAAAACATTCCAATTTCTCTAAATTATTGAAAAGCTAATTCGATCAGATCCCAAATTCTTCCAGATAAACTTTGGTTTTCAAAATTAAAATCGACCTTAAACTGTAAAATGGTTTTACAACCATGTTTCCCTTCCTCTTTGTACATAGTAGTTAGTTTAGTTTAGTTTTACTAGTCTTAGTTGAGAGTGTTAAACTGAAATACGTTTGACTTGGAGCTGAATGATTTTTGTTAATAAACTCTTATATTTTGAACAGAAGTTGTGGTGAATTTATTGTGCAGAAATAAATAGAAATAATCGAATCACTCTTTCATCTATTGTTCTAACACACAGCTAGTAGGGCGTGTTTCATAAACAGTATATAACAGCTGAAATAATATCTGATTAAATTAGATATTTTACCCCCCCACCACCCACCCCCCTACCGGGGAGGGCAATAAACATCTTTAAAGTTTTAGAAATATAAACTCCCATCTGGCTGGGAATAGAATAGAATATAAAATCTCAACATTAACGTGACTTCCTACCTGGATGGACATTGAACATAAAATCACAACAACATGTTTTCTATATGTGGTCAGAATGTCAATTCTACACTAAAGCAGGTAAAACTTAAAAAATAAAAAAGCATATTTCTATTTGTTTTTTTACAGTAAATGAATGATGAAATTAGACTATTTCAAAAAAAAGAACACCTCCGTTATCGTACAGTGGGACAAAATTTTTTTTTATCTATGTGTGTTCATTTTGGCCCTCCATACACATCAGGAATCACATCACAATAACTGTGAAAGCCATCCTTTGACCTCTAACCTCTGACCCCACTTTGGGACCTTATTGAATATTAACCTAAACAGGCTACAGTGGATCTCTGATGTTAGTTTGCTTTGCCAATGTTGGACGCTGTTCAAATAAAATCAGTGACCTTTCTAACCTCCTCTGTGTGTTTATGGGTGAAGCGCGCTTTACCTGCTGTTTAGGTGGCAGTGTGCGTCAGTCGCCGCCGACTCCGTGGCTTTGGGGGCAGCTCATCCTACGGTCGCCCCCCAACGCTTCCACCCTGTGAAAACAAACACGCCACACCGATCAGCACCGAGGATCCCCGCTTTAAGCAACGCCACGAGACGAGAGAGGAAGATCAGAGGCATCATCGTCATCATCAGGCTGGGCTGTAAGAGCGTCTCAGTTGGTTTTAGGAAACATCCAACCTTTCTGACCAAGCTGGACTTCTAGGTTTGCTCTTAAATCAACGTCCTGCTGGAAGGTCTGTTGATGAGCAGATTCTACTTTAGATATTTCTACTAGAGGAGCAAAAACCTTTTCACAGCAGAAATAAAAGTTTTGTCTCATCACTCCATAAAATAAATGTTTAAGCCCTAAAGATTGAGCTAAATTAAGGCCATAAAGTTGATTTAAAAACAGATTTAAAAATGGAAAAATATTTTTAAAATGAAAAATATTTGAAACTGAAAAGAAATATTTAAAACCTCATTTTTAGATTCCCATTTTGGCTGGTCCCTCGGTGGGCAGGGTGTGTGTGGG